GAGTCCAGTCAAGCAAAGTGTATCTCACTTTATAATAGTGCAGATTCGCCACAATCTTCTCCTTCAGCTGCTGTCCATAACTGAATCCTCTGGTGTATGGATTACCTCTGATGATGATGTGCTCAATAGTCTTCTGGTTATTGTTTTTGTCCAAATCGTTGGCCATGTTTTCCAGATATTAACTATTATTGTCTTTACAACGGATTAAAATATTGTATTTTATTATATTGTATGCAAATAGTTATTTTAGAAGCGAAATATTAATTAAATATTTCTCAATTAAATAGAAAAGATCAAGGCCCTTTCAAACTTACCAAACTTCAAAAAATAAAATGAACAAAATTAAAATCGACTGAATTAAGAATTTCAATGAATGTTTAACTATATGACAGACGTGTTTGTCAGATGTATTTATATACACTTAAATTTACTTAATTATCTGTTTACCAATTCGCAATCAATTGACGTTTTGATGCTGATATGCATTTTACTATCAAATATCGCATTATTACACATAAATACGACAGAATCGACGATTCATTACTCGATTTAATAAACGCAGAATTGAAGTGAATTGAAGTGCAGAAAAAGTAAATACTAATTAATCTCACTTTAGTTTGCTATCAATGATTCAAAATCTATTTACTAGTAATACTAGTAGTTATCTATTTAATAGATTTATTTCACATTAAATGATGTAACTATCAGATTATTTTCTATTTATATGAGTACACTTAAAATTGTTATTAAATTTCATTATATGAAAGAAATCTAAAGATTGTTTACATACAGTATATTGAAGTAGAATTTATAAAGAACTGATATTATCAATTATCAGACAAAATTCAGTTTAAATTAAATCCAATCATATAGCTATTGAAAATTTTGTAAATATTATTTTGAAACAAACAACTAATACAACTTAATTTTAATACGGTATTATTAATAATACCAAACAAAAATAGTTATTTTTGTGAAAATTGATAAGTAACAGTATAGAATTTCTGCCGATTCTATGATATACACTGTATATCATCTATTATACCTGTATTATATTATACAGTATTAATTTGTATAGTTGCATGGTGTTGAATTTCAAATATTTGAATTTATAATTAAACTAATTTAATTATTTAAAATTATTTTCAATAATTATGAGATTATATTACAATTACGTATGAATCATACTGTATGATACTGTATTCAATTTTAGTTCATTTCTAAAAATAAACAATAATTTGAACAAAAATCTTTTAAACAAATATTATTGGTTTGTTTGAAAAATAATTTATGTTATTTTATATTCATGTATGCAAACATGTTTACAATATTACAAACTAAAATAACACAATATAATGAGCAGAATAACAAACATTAAATTAAATAATCTTTATTCCAGAGGAAGTCACAAGAATTTGCAGCTCATTATATCACAGATAAACCTGTCCCCTTTTTATAATGATTAGTTAGTGTGATTATAACACTTTGTTGTCACCGAATAACCCTAAATAACCCTAATACAATTAATATTCATGGGACTCCGCTATACAATTGAAACCTCACTGATGAATCACTCATGATGAGTATTGTCATCAACATATGGAAAATAACTAAACTGGGAAAACAATGCAAGTTTTCATGAATATTCAGGTTTTTGTTTATTATTGTAAATGTGCCACTTTTAAAATTATGTACAGTATGGTCACGTTTGATTCTGGAATATTCTTTAAAAATAAAAACTAATTTCAAGGGCATATGAACTATAGTGTAGTTTGAATTAATCAACTAATAATATAATTAGTACTTACTCGTTAGTATAGCTATTGATTTTGATTTTGAATACTAGTGAACAGATTATATCAGAAATATTTACCTGTATGTATATCCAATTACGTTTAAGAGTACCGGTATATAGACAAATATTGAAACAAACAATGTAATTATAACATGAGTGCCGGTAGTTTTAAAAATACAATAACTTTTCATATCATATATAAATCAAAATATTTTTATAAGGTTTAATAATTTAAAAAATAATTCACAAGAGAATTAAAAATAAATTTTTATTAATTTAACTAAAGTTTCATTAATTAAATAAATATTCAAATAATTGAAGAATTGTTTTATAAATTATAGTAAATTATATATTAATCGTAAGTAATTTAAAATAATGAGTATTTTAACACAAAGTAATTCAAAGTACTATTTAAATAAAACTTACAATAAAATATTATTACATTAAAACAATAGTTATTTAATGTTTTTTATATTAAGGTCTATGAAATTCACTACATTTACACAATAGTATGTCAATTATACTCTAGAAAATTATATCAAATAAAAATCACATTACATTTGTTTTTAAAAACGACTGTTTAGGCCATTTGACTCTCATTTGAAACTAACCTATCATTTCATTGATATCTAAATATTAATACAAAACTGAATTAAAACTTATCATCAAATAAGTTATAATAACTTTAGGTTTCATTTACGCTAAAATATATCAATATATTAATCTCGACTTAAAATTCTGTTAAAATCTCTGAGAAATAAGAATCTTTACAATTGATATGAAATGTTCAACAAAACAGTTACAAAATAATTTTTGACACCAAATATGACACAAAATCAATGAGAATTAAATACTGAATTCATAAAAAAAATCTCTTGTGATCTTAAATGAAAAATATGCAAAACACTGTTTGCAAACAATGCATTCATAGAATCATATAATCTGTTTAACAAATAATATACAGATTCATAAATAGTGTAATCATTTGTGTAATAAATATTGTCGACAATTGGTGTCTAAAGTGTGAGGAAATAGCACTTAGACTTAATGCGCGAGTGTTCGGGTTGTGTTAACACCCATTTGCGGACACTGGTTATAATGATACAATTGGTCACCAGAAAGGCACCGGTTATCGACCAGATATCTGGCACGTCGTTGAATAGCCACAACTGCCAGACAAAGGCCAGGGCTATATCGGTGGCCGCCCTGACAACTGACACGGGGCCCGCCTGTTCCAACTGCAACGACCGGGTCAGTAGTATTTGCCCGCAAAACGAGAAGATCCCCAATAATATGATTAACAGCCACTCGGTTAAGGTTTTAGGCGCTGAGAAGCCGTCCATTAGAGCCGTTATGATGACGGTCTCTACGATAGCCACCCAACCGAAGTTAAACATTATAACCGAGTGATGAGCGCCTGTATGTATGACAAAAGCGTATTAATTATTTAAACACTTCATAAATGCGTTCATAAAATATTCAGCGAATGATTATTTCTATTATTTAGTAATATTCTGGTGAATGAAATGCCAAAAGTGTGCAAACCTTTGGCTTTCCTAATGAATATGAAGACAGATGAGGCAAATATAGTTGAGGTCAACGCAGACAACACGCCGTAGAGGTGGTGTAACTTCTGGGTTTGCATCAACTCGTGCCGACTGTCCGACACAACCGTCATGTTAACCAGCAATGAGTGTGTGGTTGAGTTCACGAACTGCGAGTTTACGTTAATATCGCCGTCGGAGCCGAAAATAATGGGCAGTTTGGTGGTGAGCGACAGGCCTAACATTGTCAGCATCACTGTTATCGTCTGGAATATACCGCACGACTCCTATAGTGGACGCAAACATTTCAAACAATTAGTAACACAACTATAATTTCATACTAAATGAAACTTACTTTAAGGAAAATGCAGGCAAACAGTGAGACAAATACGGGAACTGAGAATATAATGACCGACGCGTCGGCGATCGGCAGATATCTGAACGCCGAGAACCG